GTTTTTGGGGATTAGGGTTTGGGGTTTAGGGGTTTAGGGGTTTAGGGGTTTAGGGGTTTAGGGGTTTAGGGGTTTAGGGTTTAGGGTTTAGGGGTTTAGGGTTTAGGGTGCCGCTGAAACCCGTCACGGAGGAAGCCCTTCGCCCAAGCCGGCATTACCGGCAAGGAAGAGAGGACGGACTCCGCAATGATGTCGACGTCGTCCTCCTTGTCATGCGCTCAGCAAATCGCTTCAACCGTGGAGGGTTTATTGACCAGGGCCTCCTGGTTGTAGGTTCAGCGAAAAGAACGAACCATACCTGAATTTTGTGAGAGCTCTGCCTACACACTAAAACCGAACGCCCAAATGTTCTGGGGCCTTAACCGAAGGTTTTGGCGATACATTACACTGCAGTAATACGGGGGGTATAAGGGATGCATTACTACCTGCAGTTACTTAACTAGTGCCCTAACTCCCATTCCTACGAACTCCTAAACCGGAAATCCGAACTAAACCCCTTTTATCAAGGCTCCGGCACAGAGTCCGTGTTGCTTTCGGCTCGGATAATTTGCTCCTCAGTTCGCAAATCCGAACCCCACACCCAAAACTCTACCTTCGCCTATCAAGCCTGCTTTTTGCAATGGCCCTATAAGTTCTATATCAGTGGTTATATCAATCAAGTGAGATTTATTTCTCGGTAGGGTCCCAACAAATTCTGCATCAGTGATTCTATTAGGACCCTACAAGCCCCCGCTAACGTACTGTTGATGATATAAAACCTGCATTACCTTAAGGAACTTAAGGACCCTAAACTATGCGAACTATGGTATATATTCCTTACTATGGGGTAACGATACCCTAAACCCTAAACAATGGGAACTATGGTATATTCCAAAAAATGGGGTCATGCAGGATTTATACCATCCACCATATGAAACCCGTTTAGGAAGCTTCAAACCCTAAACCCTAAACTCTAAACTCTAAACCCCAAGCCCAAACCCTAAACCCTGAACTCTAAACCCCAAGCCCTAAACTCTAAACCCTAAACTCTAAACCCCAAACCCTAAACCCTAAACATCCCTAAACCCTAACCGAGGACCTTTGTAGAAAAGGAAGCCTTGGGGAACCAGCAGCACAGCCCGGGGTGTCAACGTGCCACAACGACACGGTAGGGCCTTAATGGTTAGAATGGGGTTCCTTTAATTTAGAGGGATCCTTAGAAGAGATACTATAGGGGCTACTATAAGCCTATAAGGGTTTAAGGTTTAGGGGCCCATTATACCATAATTATAACAAGGAACCCCCAAAATCATAGAGGTCATTGTTAAGGCCCTATATTACATCGAATGGCCTGTCTGCCAAAGGCTAAATAACCGATAAACCCGCTAAATGCAAGAATCCTAAACACCAAACCCTGCGCCCCTAAGCCCCTAAGCACTAAACCCCTGAGCAGACAACCCCTAAAGCCAACCGCCTTGAGAGGGTCGCCAGGACAGTTGAGTCCGAACGCGAATATGCGTACGATTTACGGCCTAGGCTTCATAGGGTTTAGGAGGGGCCTGAATCACGAGACTGGGGGTTTCGTTCGAGGCTTCTGTTCAAAGGGGGGAATACATTTCTCGGTGGCCATGAGGAATCTGTAAGGGTAGTCTAGCATAGGGTCCTTAATAATTAGAATGGGGCTTTGGGGTGTAAAGGTATATGTAAACCTAAATATACAATATGGAACCCTATTGAGTAACATGGGTAATCCTTTAAGCTTCTAAAGTATATTCTTGAAACTTTTCTTGCACATTTTTCACCCCCTCGTGCGGCGCCTAATACGTACACGGCACAAACAACGGACAAACAGACCAATCATGAACCCTAAAGCCTAGAACTTAAACTCCTAAAACCAACAACCGAGCTTTCCAAACCCTTAACCCCAAACCCCTTACCCTGAAAAGGGTTAATGTAGGGTCCTATATGAAGATCTTTGGGGAACATTAGACTATAACCTACAATATGGAACCCTCAAAACATTATACTATAACTATAATTAAGGAACCCCCCCTCAACAATAGTGTCGGCGATTCTTTAGGCCCCCTATAACTGCAATATGGAACCCTCCAAACACTACACTATAACCATAATAAGGACCCCCCCTCAATAATAGTGTCGGCGATACTTTAGGCCCCCTATAATATCCCTCGTCTTCTTGAGGATCTGACAACGACAGAGAGGATCGTGGAGCCCACCTTCCACCGCCGGCGCTTCGGGCTTCGTGGCTTGGGGGCTTAGGCTTCGGGTTTCGGGTTTAGGG